TGTTTCAGTCTTGTTCATGTAATAGCTAAGAGATAATGAAAATAGGTTTTCCTCAACGCCTTCAATAGTAAAAATGCGGTTTTCGGAGTGATTTGATGACTTCTCTAAACTTGTAAAAAGATTTTTATTTATTTCAGATTTATACTGAAGGAGCGAAAACTGATTCCACATTGTAATTTGGTTCTGAAGATTAATATATGGATGCTGCCGGGAACGAGCTAGTGGCAATAACATTCCACACAATCTTTCCATTGGGTACTGCCAAGTCGCCCATGCAGGTCCCGTATTGCTAATTGAAGTAGCAATATGTAATAAGTAATAATAAGAAATAAGTGCAGCCGGAAGTCGTCTAGAATCACTCTGAAGGTAATCTCTATGTAATAGTAAAGTTCAATAAAATTTAAAGCGAATAAAGTTATATACAGTACTTAATTGATTACATAAGCATACCTTTCATAGTGTGTAACAAATTCGCAAAATAGGTTGTTAATTTCCATTAACTCTGCCTTATTAATCTTATATTTAAGACAGAGTTTTACTGCATGCACAAATTTCGTCCAACCATTTAAATGCCTAATAAATATAAATACAGTATATTAAGTATATTAATTAATAACCTTTTAAATGCAAATCATTTACTGTATTATTTTAAGCATACCATTCCGGAAGATTGCCCTGCAATAATGGAATTGAATATAGAGTTATCCAATTTAACCAATGTTCGGCTTTGAATGCTGCTGAATGCCGTTGAATATTAATAGATGGACGACTGAAACTTAAAGGCATATTTTTTTTGTTTTTCTCCATTGTTTTCCCAATTTCAGCCCACGCATTATTAGGAATAATATAATCAGAATCTGAAAATTGACTATCTCTAAAAAAAGAACCTGACCAATGTTGAAGCATTGCTAGAGCAATATTCTCAAATAATCCATGCATTATGTCGACAGGAAATGAATCAGGAAATCTAATTGACTTAAGCTCGAACAAGATGCTTCGGTCATTTACGCCTAAAAGATATAAAATGTTACCTACATATTATTTAAAATATTACAAGATACTAAAATAAATAACTTGCCTCTCTCTTGAACCTCATGTTTGCGTGATGATCCATTTAAATATTTTATAGCGGCAACATCTAGCAAATAACTTTCATGTGTTCGTAAAGGAAGATTTTGGGGATCATAACGGCATCCTAACATATTATTTGGAGGTTTAAGCGGAAAATAAACATGCCGGTTTTCATTGCAACATACTCCATGAATTGAACAAAACCGACAAGTTTTATAGGAATTATGTCCAGTCGTGCATATGATTTTAGCAAGTGCCGGAATGTCACCCGACCAACTTAAAATATGAGCACGGAGAATAAATGTTTCTTCTGTTACACCATCAATACACTGAATACCTTCTGAATTTATTATAAAAATTTGATAAATATATTATAACAATTTAATATAAATTGCTATTAACAGAAATATAATAGATTTCTTTTAACAAGGAGCTTATTTCTATTAATAACAGTTTATATAAAACATGTACCAATAATACCTTGTAGTTGTTTTAATTCATCAATCAGAGGTCGTAAAAAAGTATTAAAGTTTTTTGGTGCTCTTGGCCCTGGGATAAGCACAGAAATCATCAGGTTTTCACGTTGAACACGTATATCAGATGGTATGTTTGCATTTATAAAAAGAACAACCCAACAATCATCACGCTTTTGGTGGAAGATTTGATATCCGTCGGTAGATGCCATTAGAGCAATATCTCGATAACCTGAAAAAAGTCCCGAAGAAACTAAAGATTTATATTGAAGGCCATAAAAAACATCTCCTATTTGATCGCCAGTTATATATTCATCTGTTGAAGTATAAGTATGCCGGTAACAAAAAGTTTCAGCTCGAATTTTGTCTTTATATTACATCTGAAGTGAACTTATAAGCGACCAATAAACAGCACTTTTCCTAGGTGCACCCAACGTTTTGCCAAACTTATAGTGAGGCTCATTACATTCTGGACAATAATTCACATTAATAAGATTATCTGTAAATGCCACACATGAATTAACACAACAATCTACAAGTGTTGGTTTAAAAGGTACAAGATTTCCAAGAAGCTTTTGTAATTTGTAAAGTGTGATTTTGGAAACTTCTAAAGCTTCAAGAATTTATTAAATGCTGCGTCTGAGATATTATATTTGTTTTTAATTCGAAAAAGTCGCAAGCCCTTAAATAAATTTTCTGAAATAATCTTTAATATATAAATATAATATGACAATGTTAAAGAATTATGTTTTTAATAATAGGCTTACCAAAATCTAAATTTTTATTAAACTCTTCATCGCTTTCTTCACTACACTCCTCTTTATATTCTTCATAATATTCGTTATATTCCTCATCGCCATTTACGTTATATCCATCATAATCGTCATCATATTCCTCAACATCGTCTACGTTATATCTATTATCGTACCCCTCATTGTACTCTTTCTCATTATACCTCTTGTTATTCTCTTCATATTCTTCTTCATCGTACTCACTATATGTATTGTTACATTCATCATCATCATTCTTATTATATTCATCATTATGCCCTCATTATACTCGTCAAATTCTTTCCCGCTTTCTAATATTTGATTATGTTCATTATTCAATTCTCCTTGTCTAGTATATGATGCTATTACTGGAATAGCTGATGATAAAATTTGAGAAATAGAAGTGACTAGCTTTTGTTGTTGAACTGGAATATTTGCTGAATTAGGCCAAGTATTTTTCTGTTTTAGTAAGTGCCTTGAACGAGTTGATCTACAAACTAATATGCCCTGACTATCTGACTCTCGTAGGCACCAAACACATGTACAAAAAACTTTTTCACCCATTTTATATGAATACCGTATTTAAAAAAAATGAAAAAAATGAGAAGAAAAATGCAACAAAAAAAAAAAAAAAAAAACTTTACTTTTATATTTACAAGTATATTTATTTGAATTCGTTATACTTTTGATCACAAATATATCAGTAGTTACATAATAATATGTAAAGTTGATATATAAATGATCAAGAAATAAATAAAATTTACCTTTGTTTAAATACTCTCTAATTGCTTTTGCAAATATAAAATTATTTAATATTAAAAATGCCACACAATAAAACTTCAATTAATATTCATACACTTAGTTCTGAACAGCGTCATCAGTTTTTTCTAGAACTATTTGACACGGATCCATCTCTACCAAATGTACTAAACCCTGAGCAACGTCGTCGACTATATTCTGTACTAATTGCTATCGATCCCTCTCTTACGGAACCGCTTTTAGATGCACGTAGTGCAGTGCGTGGCATGATCAATGAACAAGTAAATTTTTTTTTTTACTACTAAGTTTTATTTGAAAATCGAATAACGAATAGTTTTTTAGTTTCCAAAAGGGTCGGTAATGAACCCGATTACGTTCAATGAATATGAGAACTATAGGGAAACTCAAAAAAAAGCTAAAAAGGATGTGCAGTGGCATGAATTTTTAAAACTTGATAAGAAACAATATCTAAATTTCAGAGTAAGTTATATAATTGTTATTGTTGCTATGTTATTTTTTTACTATTTATTCTATTATTTTATTATTAGAATGACTTGCGAAATCGTGCAGCTTCTTGATTCTTGCATGGTATATCTTTATCTCGCCAACCAAAAGGGAAGGCCAAAGAAATTATAAAAGAGATAAAACTATATTTTTTTAAAACATTTCTAAAATAAAAAAAGTTAAAATTTATATCTATAATAGTTTAATAAAGCAAATTCAACATTTCCCGTCTCTGAAGCTGACTTTATTCTTCATGAGTGGCTTACCTCATATTGTAATAGTATGGGTATATAAGGTTTTATGACTTCACATGGGTGTCAATTATATTTTAACTTGTATTCACATTAGTCGATCAAGAGAAAAAAAAAAAAAGTAACTGAAGCAAAGGCAAATGGGTATACGATACCACCGAAAAAAAAATGTCAAACCCCCTATTAGAAGGCATTACACAAATAATGAAAGTGCCCTTGACCAAAGCGATGCAGATGAGACTGATAGTATGCACGATTTTTTAGGTAACAATGGTAACAATGGTACGTATGTAACTATTTAATACGTATGTAACTATTTAATACGTACTGTAGTATAGAGATAACTTCATGTAGACATCAATTAATTTAACTTGTACGTATTCACATTAGGTGTTCAAGAAAATGCTGAAACCACTTCAAATGGGTATACGCTACCATCAAAAAAAATAAATATCAAACCTTCTATTATAAAGCGTAACAGTAGCACAAATAATGTTGTTAATATTGAAAGTGCCACCGATCAAAGTGATAATGCATATGATTCTTTGGGTAACAATGATAATAATGGTATGTTGAACTATTAACAATGGGTATATAAGTTTTTACAACTTCACGTAGGCATCAATTAATTTGTATTCTCATTAGGTGTTCAAGAGAATGTCAAAGCCATTGCAAGTGGGTATACGCTACCACCGAAAAAAAAGAATGCCAAATCTTCCACTAGAAAGTGTAGCAATAACACAAATAATATTAATATTGAAAGCGCCGCCGCTGATCAAAGCGATGCAGATGAAACTAATAATACACGTGATTCTTTGGGAAACAATGATAATAATGGTACGTGACTATTTAATAGTGTGGATGTAAAAGTTTTTATAACTTCATATAGGTATCACTATATTTTAAATTGTATTCACGTTAGTCGGTCAAGAGAAAAAAAAAAAAGCTACTCAAGCCAAGGCAAATGGGTATACGCTACCACCGAAAAAAAAGAATGTCAAACCTCCCATTAGAAGGCGTAGCACAAATGATGTTGTTAATATTGAAAGTACCCTTAATCAAAGTATCACGAATGAGACTAATAATTCTTTGGGTCAACTTATATAATTATATCTAGCGATTGTTTTTAATATTTGTCAAAGACTAAATATATATCTATTGTTTATTCTTAGTAGCCTACGGTCAAGATAATACAGACGAGATTCCACATAATTCTAATACTGCAATCGATGCATTTTCATATAATGATTTGGAAAATAACACTAGTCAAGGTGATACATTAACCCTTACAAGAAATGGTTTAGAAAGGAAGACTCGATCCCCATGCGTTTGCGTAACACAAACATTGAAGACAATCAAGATACTACAAATATCGATGCAGGTAAAAACTTTATATGTATATCCAAATCGGTGTAAAGCCTTTCAAATTATAATTATATTAACGTTAACTTATGTCTCAATCAAAGTTGGACACGTAATTAATGTACTAAAAAACTTTTTTTCAAAAATAAAACATAGATCAAGGTAATAAAATCCCCGCAAATAACGTATCACCATCATTAAAAAGTATTCTTCGTTCTTCTGTTCAAAAAAATAATGATATCAAAAAAGCTGAATACAATGCACAAAATTCTGGTGCTTTAAATGATATCGGTAAGAATACTGGTAGAACGTGTATTATTTTTTCTTCTCATATTGGATAATGCATTTTATTTTCTTTATTTATTTAGATAAAAAAAGAAAAAGAGGACGGGCGGCTAAAGAACCTTCTTCACATAAGGTAAGGGTTACCAAGAAGTCAAGGAATGATAAAAATTAAAATAATGGTAATGTTCTTTAAGAACTTATATTATTTTATCAGATCTTTCAAAAAAAAAAAAGAAAAAGAAAAATGGTGCTTATTATTCGGAAATCAATTTCCAGATTTTATCCATGCATTAATTATATAGGTTCAGTAAAATTCCTGCGTTACTTCAATAATATTATGAATAATTTTCGTATATTCTCAGTGAATTATCCCTATTATTTCCGTGCTTGATTAAAATTTTCCTTGTATTATTATGTATATGTCAGCAAAGTCTCCAATTAATTTTCATAATTCAATGTGAATTTGCTTTTTATTACAATATAAACTTCAGTGACGCTTCTGTATAAATTCCATTATTCTATTAAAATAACTCCATAAATACTCCGTAAATATGCTACATTTATGGAAGAAATACAGAATTTGTTATTTAGCAATTTAAATGGAAAAAATATGGAATTTATACACGGAGAAATTATGGAAAAATAAAGTTTACTTTTTTTTATAGGGTAATGTAACATTCGTGACGATAAATGTGGGTCTGCTCTCAATATTTCAATTAAGCAAATTGGTGTTCCATTTTATAAGCCACCCTGATCCTAGCTCTGGATTTGTAATATATGCATGGCAATCTAATAAAACATTCACACAAACAATTTACAATGGAACCCAGTATAATCTCCCTCGCCATGGACGGATAGTTCCATTATGCTTTCTGGTGAATCTTATTATACTGTGATGGTGTAGTAATAATACTTCAATAGTAATTTTGGAATTAGTAAATTTGTAAGCGTTGTTAATAGTTATGCTATAACTGTCGTGATCACAATATTGCAAATAATTGAAGCTTATTTAAGCATATATGAGTGTCTCTAAAAGAAAATTCGACAATTTAAATATAGACTATATTTAAATTGTCGGGTTTTCTTTTGGAGACACTCGTATGTACACTTACAATTAAATTATATTAAGTTTAATTTTAAAATTATACTAATCCATAAAGTTAATACGGATATAGTAATAAAGCTTAAATGAGAAAAGATAAGATACAATAATATATTTTATTTAATGAAAAAAAAAATTTAAAACCTCTAATGAACCTAACAATTAAGGCCATACATAAAATTTATTGGTTAACATACATAAAATAAAATTTTTGACCCGGCCACCCTATTGATGGTAAATGATCCATAATGATGCAGAAAAAAATTCGCAATAAAGTGATTTTTGTCGTTCTGAATCTCATAATGCAGCCAGAATATAATATCAACATACGAAAATTTATGAAATTAGACATAGTACTACATTATTAATTGATAATTAGTTGTCATAATCATCTGATCGCGGATTTTTTCCGCCATCACCTCAAAAGATTTAAAACGCGATCTCATAAAACAAGATTGTTTGGTTTAAAATAGTTTTTAATACATTTTAAAACATTTAACATAATCATTGTTATCGTAAAATTACGCCACAAATATGATTATAAAGTCAGCGTTAACATCATAAATGCTATGCATTTTTAAGATCTTTATATCCGGTTGCCTTTTTTCGATTTGGTTGATCGCTGGACGGTTATCCTGATTAGATTGGATGTTGATGTTGGAACCAGTGTTTCGGCCTAAACCTCCCTCAAAGTCCGAAACGTTTCGGTTTCGCCCAAAATCCGAAACCTCCGAAACCCTCCGAACATCATTCCGAACTCTCTGTCTTTCAGAAAGGTTCAGAAATTTTCTCTCCCTCTTGCTCATATTTTACGTTCTTTGATATTCTACTCGGAATATTTCGGAAATTTCCTCTATTTTTCTCTCCCTCTTGCTCGTATTTTACGTTCTTTGAATTTTACTCGGAGTATTTCGGAAAGTTCACCCAATTTCTGAGCTTTCGGCCAGTTTCGCCCAATTTCGGAGGTTTCGCCTAGTATCGGATGTAACTTTATACTTATTTATACATGTGTTTTCACATGATCCGAAAATTTCGTATTTTATTGGCTATTTGTTTCGGAAGTATTTGAAGTTTCACCCGTTTGGAGGTTCGCCCAATTCGGAGGTTTCGTCCAGTTTCGGAGGTTTCGTCCAGCTTCGGAGGTTTCGCCCAGTTTCGGAGGTTTCGGAAGTTTCGGATTTGGGACTTCTGGCGAAACTATATTTCGGAGGTTTAGGCCGAAACACTGGTTGGAACCCTAGTTATACACATAGAACCCCTACGATTTGATATATTATCATAAAAAATATTCCTATCTCGCTTTCTGATTTCGCAATTTCAAAAACAAAATAGGATATTTTAACTCACTTATTTCGAATCATTTAATTCTGAGTCACCCTATTAAAATATCTATATTTAATGCTTAATTTTTATGTTATAATTCCATAATAAGTTATATGAAATACAAAACTTAAAGGGCCATACTGTAAAATTTTATTTGGCCAAATTATGACTGTAAGTTGTTGCAGATCGGTGGTGTTTAAGGCGTACCACTAGGCTAAATCTTTTATATTGTGTGCTCAGTGTTTATTAAGATCATTTCGTTGTTTAGTTATCATCACCAATACGAAAGGCAGTATGTAGAATGTTTTTAATAATTTCCATATTTATAATAGCTGTCGTTATTATTGTAGGCTGTTGATCAGAGCACAAAACATTTAAAAATAATTTCTTCAAGACTTTTACTTGTCAGAAAATTTATGTACTGTCGTACATACGTACATACATACGTTGTAGCGGTGCGTGACGACAATAGTTCCGTAGTAGTGGTGACACTTGGATTAACTCTACTCTATAATCTCCTAAACATAATGAATAAGATACTTCTATCGAGGCGTGCATTGACTTTGGTCCGAGGAATTAGGTAATAACCACAAAAAATATTACTTTTCTCTCTTTGACAAGGTTTGATTTACTATTTATTATGAGGAAAAAAGGCAGCGAACTTTTATATTCTGAACCTATTAAAAGAGTACTGCAAGACAAATACACTTATTTCTTTGAAATTTCAAACTCAAAACTGGCTTTATTTTAGCTACAAGTGCGACATATGCCATAAAAGGTACAAATAACATATTATACTTGTGCTAATATCTACGCTAACTGAAAAGAGAGAGCTGTTAATATTTGCATTTATCTTTATGAAGTTCTACAATACTAACAAAAAAATAAAACTATAAGGGTGAAGAAAAAGAAGACAGGGAAAAAAAAATTTTTATTGACAATGTATGTATGTACAAATAGACAAGAATTAAGAAATTAATAAGTAACGGAGGTTACAAGAGATATTGAATATTAGAATTTTTAGCTTTGGAATTGTGGTTTATTGAGGTAAAGGTCAGTCTTTTATACTTTCTTTTTACATCACCTTTTGATTTTTGAAATATACCAATTTATACTTCCTAGAATTCACACAATTTCTAAAGTTTATAAATTTTCCATAATTTTCCAAAAAAAATAAAAAATTGAATTAAAAAAAGTAACAATCGATTTTTCAAAGTGGCACGGTTTTTAATAATGCACAGAAACGCGTTATTATGTAAAAATATGAAATGTATTCTTGCTTACCTATATTAATCCTTTTTTTTAATATTAATAATAAAATAATATTAATAAATATAACGTTTTTTTAAGGAAAAATCTTTAATTGCAATTGTATGCCTGATATCATATGTTTAAATTAGTCAATAAACAAATTAGTTCATAACAATCTTTACCCAATATAATTAATATGTAAACCAGATCCTAAAAAAATAAAAAAAAAACTTAAAATACAATATAAATAGTCTTATTTTATAACTAGAAATTGCACATGCGAGCAGTGCCGATCATTCAAATTAACTAATAATTGAAATGGCAGACAGTGTGATAAAAACATGTTTTACGTCAAATTAAAAAATTTTTAAGGTTTAAATTTACACCTTATTTAATAAAAATCGACAAATTCTGCTGTTACTAGTTTTAAATATAATATAAAAGACTATAAACAAAAGTTGATAATTTCAAATTTTTATAATTTTTTCTATATTACTTCTGGCCTCGTCCTCATTTTGTTTGCCATCTTTGCAAATCTAGTTTCGGTATTTTTTTTACATCATATAATTCTTGTTAACTCGTGCGAACTACTCAGTTTATCAGGTGTGATGATAACATGAAGTTATCAATTATTGCTAATTTTTTATTTGGGTTGATTAATTAAATTATCCATTTTTTGAAGAATGTTAATGCATGTTAAAAAATTTAAGATTTTAGATTTTAAAGTCACACATTTTTAATAAAATATAAAATAGAAGAACGTATCATTCAAACATAAATTTTAAGACTAATTTTAAATAAAAAAATAACTCTCGAAACATGCAAAATCAAAAATAATTGTATCTCAAATTATGATTGACTAATTTTCAACTGGTGCCATGTTGTCATAGTTCCAGTCTTTAGCATTGTCTTCATTTGGGTCTTTACCTTCAATGATTTTTTTGATTGCGTGAACTGCAATGTCTTCCTCTAAGTCTTTAGATTCAATAACTTTTTTGATTTCATAAAGTACAGAGCCTTTATCTAAATCTTTAACTCCAGTAATTTTTTTAATTGCAGGAAGTAAATCTTGTAAAATTTCATCATTTTCAATATTTTCTAAATATTTTTTAAGTTCATTAAATGAAACTTGGTAACATCTAAATATTTAAATTACATATTAGAGTATATTTAATGTTTGAACATAAATAAATAAAATAATTACAAAATTTCAGGAAACCAGTTTTCCTTTCTTCTTTGATGGGGTAACATCCAATAAAGTTCGATTTCAGATAATATCTAGTGATAATACGTATAATTTATAAAATTATTATTTTAATATTTTTAAATCATAATTATACTATAAAATAAAAAAATTTTACATCTCCTCTTAATTTTAAAAAAGATTCTTCATTATATGTTTCATCAATAGCCATTCCAAGTAATGAAATGACCAAATTTAACAAATAAATCGTTGTAAAAAATGAAAATATAGCTAATAAAATCGCTAAAGTCCAATTATCTTTGTAATCCCATGAAGAAACTGCACTCATATCACCTAAAAATAAAAATAAAGTTAATTATATATATATATATATACCAATGTTTTGTCAAAATTATAATACCCATTAGCATAAAATATACGGCTAAAATAGAAGTACTAAAGCCAGTAAATAGATTTGTATTATCATCAGGAGTTTCAATAAGGGAAGAATCACCGACAGTACCATTAGGTGAAATAAATAAATAAGTTGAAACAAGATTCCAAGGATTGTTAACATCATCCGTATAGCTTGGTTGATCATAAACATAATCAGTAGTAGGTCTTAACAGAAGATGTAAAGAATGAGCAAAAGCTAAGACAATAATGCCTAGCAAAATATTTTCCAAAATATTTCAAGGCACGGAAAAATAGTAAAAATTTAATTTCAAGTAAAAAAGTGGCAATAGTTATAATCCATATAGGTGGTGTTTTAACATGTAGCCATATAAATGATGTTATTGTTGGAAAAAGTATTGCTGCAAGATCTATAATACAATTAAATTTTAATAATCATGTATAAAATATATATAATACTGTATATAAATAAAATAAAATTTATACCAAACCAATTCCAAGGACTAGTAACATAATTTATTGGTTTATGAATACATTGATGAGCTTCAAAAATTAGATGAATAAAGCCAAAAAAAATAGTAGCTTCCAAAAGAACCGATTGATTACTCCAAGAAATTTTACTTTCAGGAATTGTTGAAGCTGTTAAAAAGCAGCACATGAAAATTAAATATATTAACCAAATTATGTAATAGTAATATTTTCCATAAGTGTGCCACTTGAAATTAATATTCCACCATTTATAATAATATGGTGCATCAAGTGAAGTAAAAGCATTATCTCGTACATTGAATAATTCAAGATAGGAATAATCTTCGGGGTATGTGGCAAAATTCAATAAAGGAAACATTAATGTTACGGTTTTTTGGGGATACTTTGTAAAATAAGAAGAGTAAATCAAATAAGGAGTCGCTAAAATTTTATAAATTTTAGGATATTTTTCTTCGATAAATTTACATTTTTCAGATATCCACAAAAATAAGCGATCAAATGAAGAAGTAATAGATAAAGATGAATAATCGTAAAATCCACAATATTGAAAATGAGATAATTGAGATTTATCTTTTATAGCATAATCTGAAGCTAGTAAATTAATTTTAGATAAAAATTTTTCCGTAACTTTTAAATTTTTGTTATATTCTTCTAATTGTACTAGCGCAGAAGCAGCATGACTTATAAGCAATTTAAAGCTATAAATGTCACCACTATTAAATGCTGCTAAGCTACGATCGATGCATTTATCATGCAATTCCTTAATTCTTTCTTTATTTTTGATGATTTGATAAAAAATAAGGTTTCCATATAATTTTCTCGTCAATTCATTGTTTATAAAATCATCCCAATGATAGGGAAATGTTAAAACTGGTGATGGTAAAAATTTAAAAATCGAATTATTAAAAGAAGTAAGAAGTCTCTTCACTGATTGTTGTGCAGTTTCTGATTCTTTGCTATATCTTTCAGTCCAATAATAAATTAAACGAAGTGTTTTTTTTTCTAAATTAGTTGTATAAATTCGTATACCATCACGGTAAACAAATATCATATCTCCATTTTTGAGCAGTTTATTTTCTAAAATATACCCATTATTGTTATCAGTGCGTGCCAAAAACTGCTTTTCACGAGTTGACTTCTCGCCAATATTTACTTTTATAGTTGTTTTTTGATAATTTTCATCATAGATCGTATTTATAATCCAGGTGTATAACTCACCATAGCTGAACTCTTTAGGTTTATCAGAATAACTTTGAGTTAAATCTTGATTTGAATTACACCTTTTTAAGGCATTCTGTACAAATTCCTTAATTTCTTGTACGTTGAAAAAAGAGCTACCACCCACATGCCCCTCTTTGCTTTGTAAATAATTTTTCCAATTTTCTTTATTTGATAATCTTTGAATAGATAATTTATTATTTTCACAGTTTATAATAAAATCAGAGATAATATTAATTTGATAATCTTCATAACTGTCGTATGTTGGAGAATAAATATCTTGTAAAGCATAAATTTCTGGAGGCTTAAGTGTGTAAGGATTTAGTATATAAGAGTTATAACTCTCTGTAGTATATTGTGGGCCAGACAGAAACAGTTGTTCTTCTTCTCTTGATCCAATAAAACAAAAATGATTTAAATCATCCACCTTAAATGAATCTTAATTGTTAAATAAAAGTTATAATATAAATATTTATTCAGTATATATTTACATACTGTATAACTTTATAAAATACTCACTATTTGCTACCTCTGCTCCAGATTCTGTTGAATAAACATTGATTAATATTTCATCTTTAGCACGACCAGCTACTGCTAGCAATGTGTTATCGCTATTCATTATTAAACTCTGAGATAATGATGCTAATCCTAATATATTCCAATTTAATATATATTGCACCTCAAGCTCCCGAGTTACTAAGTTCCATTGCACGATTACAGGTGGTATTCTAAAAAACAATAACAATTTTTTATTTTTGAAAATAAAAGACTTTGAATAATTTTTTTTAAGATTAATTACATCCTTGCATATCCATTGTTGTTTTACATTAGATTTTGACCTTGAAAAGATATAAACCCGATAAACTGGCTCCCCTTTGACGATTGCCAGATCTCCATTTTCAAGAAAAGTAATATTGTCTCTAATATTGCCTATATATTCTTTTAATCCTTGCCCATTTAATACTTGTCTTGATTTAGTTGAAATGTCAATAATTTCTTTTAAAATAATTTTCGTTAATATCATTTATAATTTATACATCGTTGATATTTAATTTTATAATAACCAACCGAATTCATAAGGATCTTTTCTAAATAGGTCTAGTATAATTTGTTTATAATTTGAGACTCCTATTAACAAATGCCTAGTTATGATTTTTTCAGATTTATCAGGGTTAAACACAATTTTTTCAAGTTCT